ATATCTCTACATTGCATCGCACATCTTTACATTGCATCTCATATCTCTACATTGCATCGCACATCTTTACATTGCATCTCATATCTCTACATTGCATCGCACATCTTTACATTGCATCTCATATCTCTACATTGCATCGCACATCTTTACATTGCATCTCATATTTCTACATTGCATCGCACATCTTCACATTGCATCTCATATCTCTACATTGCATCGCACATCTTTACATTGCATCTCATATCTCAACATTACATTGCACATCTTTACATTGCATCTCATATCTCAACATTACATTGCACATCTTTACATTGCATCTCATATCTCGACATTGCATAACATATGTTAACATTGCACATCATATCGCTACATTACACCTTAATTATTTTCATTGTGTAGACGTTTTCGTAATACTATTAAGACCTCCATCGTCATCATTCACCTTCTATCTCAATACGAACGCATGCACGCACGCACGCACGCACACACACACGCACGCACGCACACACGCACGCACGTACGCATGCGCGTACTCTCCTGCTGCTTACGTGAGCTAGCACGTGAATACGTCAACACATCCGCTAGGGCAGGCGCACATGCGCGTATACGCACGCACTACCATTCAACGACCTACGCTAACATGTCCTCCCACAATTAAGGTACCTCTCAAAGGCCACGCATGTAGAAGCTAGCGGTGATAGAGAAGAGAAGAGGAGCAGCGATGTAGAGAATTTCTTACCTGTGCCAACAGGTGGCAGCACGCAAGGTTGATATGGCGATCGGCGGCGACACGGGCGGTTCAGTCAGGCTTCCAGCCTGCTGGTGTGGCATCGTGGGTCTGAAGCCGACGTACGGGCTGGTGCCGTACACAGGCGCCTGCAGCATGGAGCGAAGTTTCGACCATCTGGGACCGATGGCGGCGACGGTGCGAGACTGCGCGCTGCTGCTGCAGACGATAGCGGGATACGACGACGGCAACGACACGAGGCAGCCGCGCGACCTCCACGTGCCCAACTACACCGAGCAGGTGACGACGACGATGATGATGACGATGCTGGTGGTGGTGACGACGGCGATGACGATGCTGGTGGTGGGGATGACGACAATGATGACGATGCTGGTGGTGGTGACGACGGCGATGAAGATGCTGGTGGTGGCAATAACGACGATGATGATGCTAGCTGTGATTGATGACGACAAAGATGATGCTGGCGATGATTGCAGTGATGATGATGATAATGGCTATGGCGACGATGATAATACTGTTGATGGTGGTGATGCTGATGATAGTGATGACTACGATTATTATGATGATGATGCTGCTGATGGTGATGATGATAATAGTAGTGATGTTAAGCATGACAATGATGATGGCGACAACGACGATGGTGATGATAGTGATGATGGTAATTGTGGTGTTGACAACGATGGCGATGATGGTGGTTGTGGTGGTGATGGTGATGGTGATGGTGATGGTGGCGATGACGGTGGCGGTAGTGATGACAATAACAGCAATAGTAACATTCATGACATTCACTCATTGGATCGCTGATGTATGTGTTCATATGCTTACTAACAGCTGAAGGGCGACCCCAAGCAGTTAAAGATAGGAGTAGTGAAGGAAGGCTTTGCCAACTGCCACGATCCAGTGAATGGCATAGTGAGGGGAGCGCTGGATAAGCTGAGAGCTGCCGGGGCAACGGTCGAAGATGTGTCTATACCGGCTCACACTAAAGGCATGTATTCAATCCCTCTCCCTTCTCTCCCTCCCTCTCTCTCTCTCTCTCTCTCTCTCTCTCTCTCTTTCTTTCTTCCTCTCTCTTACTCTCTCCTCTCTATCTCTTTCTCTCCTTGCGCAATCTCATAACTGCAGATTAGGGCTGTAGTCAATTAGTTCGTCCTGAAATAAATGCAGAAAAACAAATCTCGGCTGATGGATCGCTTTATGTTTCAGCTTTAGGTGTTTACACTGCCATTACGACGCACGGTATAGGGGAGATCATGCTGAAAGCAGAAGGTGCGACACGTCGACCTCTAGCGTGAACATGCAACGGGAGGTTTACTTTTTAACGCTTATATTCTCATAATCACTCACGGACGATCACATGTGGTGAATCAAACCACTATATCCGCATAGTTCGTATTAATTCTATACATAATAAACCAGTTAGTTACAACAATATGTAACAGTTTATTATAACAATAGATTTCACGTTCATTTAAATATCCGTTAAACGCAATGCATTTTCGAGGATCAAATATTTAATTACTCATCCGATTAATTACTGTTAATTATCTACATGACGCAGGCGTCCAAATCGGGGATCGTGGGATGCAGTCTACGGCACTGGCGGATGCACATAGGCGTGGCTTCCGCGCACACAGTCAGTACCTTTCCTACACTCTCAAGCTGTTCCTGCTAGCCTCCGACTACGTGCGTGAGGAATACGGATTCCACTTCTACTCCAAAGCACAAAACATTAGCCATGAGGTAGGTGGCAGAGTAGTGGTGGGGCCACCTAGACAATAAGCCGGGAGGTAGGTGACAGAGTAGTGGAAGGTGGGGTGGAAGGCCTAGTGACTAAGCTGGGAGTAGGTGACAGAGTAGTGGGAGGTGGGGTGAAAGGCTTAGTCACTAAGCTGGCGGTTGTAATATTATGCAGAACTACCTTGTAGCCTCATCACTACGCGTATACCCGCGTAATTTAGACTGTTACTGAAAGCAGTCTTCTCTGGGCTCGTCCATGCTTATGCTAAGCACGAATAAATGTTTGTGTACCCAATTATGTCTGGACATCCGATACTTTACATGGGGGCAGCGGTAAATACCATCGCAGTGTTGAAATAACACTCCGGTGAACATCTGTATGACACTGACAGTGTGTGGGTCAGCGCCAGAAGCGAGAATTTCGGATTTGTCTGCACCGACCTCAGTGCCACGATCGATCGCGGCAGTAAGCGACATCGGCATCACCACGCAACAAGTGGTATGCATATATGCGCGCATCATGCACTACTACTATTAGAGGACAAGTAATAGTAATACTCGGATGTACACGCATCCGGAGTGTACATTACACGCAGCGTCTGAGTCTGCTGGAGTAGCAACTGGACAGGGCGGTGAGTGAAAAATAGACAGTATCCTGTCATTGACAGTCATACACGTACTTGTACGGTGTGTCGAGACCCAGTAAATGTGTACAGTAGGTCTTATACACGTACTATCATGGGTGAACTGTCAGGTATAACGCCACCTCGTATGGACTGCTCCAGCACGGAACATTTCACATAACTGTAGACCCGTCCGTCCCGCCAGTGGTGCACGCCCCACGACGATGTCCGATTCACCTTCGAGATGAGCTCAAAAAGGAACTTGACGGTATGGTAAAGTCAGGAGTCATCACTAAGGTCACTGAGCCCACCGACTGGGTCAGTAGTCTGGCGTACAGTCGGAAGTCAAACGAAAAACTTAAGGTGTGTCTTGATCCAAAGGACCTTAACGAAGCGATAAAAACGCCCGCACTATAAAAGGCCAACACTTGAAGAGATCACCCACAAATTCGCGGGAGCAACCATTTTCTCCAAGTTGGACGCTCGCCACGGATATGGTCAATAGAACTTGACACGCGAATCAAGTCGCCTGGACGACATTTAACAGCCCATTTGGTCGATTTTGCTTCTAGAGGTTGCCATTTGGCTTGAATGTCAGCCAAGATGTATTCCAGGAGCGCATGGACAACATATTGGAGCAGTGTCCGGGCACGACTGGAATAGCGGATGACGTCGCTGTATTCGGGAAAGACCAAGCTGATCATGACGCCAATTTGCCATCCAAATATTGATGGCAGATGCTCTCTCTCTCGATCTCCTGGAGAAGAGAACGACACTATTGACGTAGATGTCAGAGTTGAACTTGTGCAATTTAGTACACAGAAACAAGATGAGTTACGCGAAGCGACCCAAGCTGATGATAAGCTTCATGCTCTGAAGAAGGTGATCGTGCAGGGATGGCCCGACCGACGGAACGAGCTACCACCTGCACTACGCCAGTTTTGGCCATACAGCGATGAACTTACTGTCCACGTCATGTTCCAGACAGCATGCAGAGCTACGTTCTCTCGAAAATTTCACGAGTCTCACCAGGTATCGACAAGACCATGTTGAGGGCTCGTACCTGTGTTTACTGGAACAACTGTAATGCAGACATAGAGAACATGATAAAGTCGTGTAGTATTTGTCAGCATTCCCAGAAGTCACAAAGCGGAACAAGAAATTCCAGAGACTATAATCAGTGACAACTCACAATATGCGAGCCAGGTGTTCAGACAGTTCACAGAAGAATGGGGTTTCAGTCACGTAACATCGAGTCCCCGCTACGCACAGTTAAATGGCTTTATCGAGATGCACGTACAGACCGTAAAAGGTGTACTTGCTAAAGCCAAAGCAGCACATACTGATCCGGACATGGCAATGCTGATTATTAGATCCACACCCGTGGATTGCCACTTGCCAGCACCATCAGAACTACTGAACTCTCGCAAGTTCAAAAGTAATCTTTCAGTAAAGATTACTAACGAAGCAGCCGACAAGGATGCAGTTTCACGTCGACTTTTTGAGCGTCAAGCAACTCAAAAATTGTATTACGACGAGAAATCTGTGAAGACACTAGCCCCTCTGTCCCCAGGTCAATCGGCTAAAGTACAGAACGAGAATACACACAAGTGGAAGCCAGCACTCGTCACAAGAAAACATGTGGCACCACGTTCGTATGACGTGCAAACATCTGACGGCAACAATCTCAAGAGGACTCGTCGGTTCATCCGGGAAACCAATGAAGAATTGAAGACCCCCTTATATCCCCCAGGACAAGATGACCAGGAACCAGTTCCACCCCCAGAGATAGATGTGAGGTTCCCAACAAAACACGTCAGATTCAAGGCAACGATTGAGAATGAACCAGCACGTGTTCCAAATACTGGGAGTGCCAGTGACTATCCAAA